TATTACGTCTCCGTCGAGGCGTAATATGAAAATCGGGCACGCGATTCCGTTCGAAGCGTTGTTATTGTAAATAAAAATGGCGGCTAAGAAACAGTTTACGTAGGTAGTTTAGTTAAATTTCTTGTTACCCTAACGATATTTTATGTTGATTAAATTAATTTTTATATATTGGATTAAAACTTAATATTTTCATAATATGCACAGATATTTTTTTATATCGATAAAGGTCTTCATCGGGATAAATTCGTAATACAGTAAGTTAGTGACCAAGTACGGATTCATACAGGGTGTGAAATGGAAATCCTTACTGTGACTCTGTTACGCCTCACCCAATACGGATTTCCATTTCACACCTTGTATGAATCCGTATTAGGTCACTAACTGGCTGTGAAACTAATAATATGATACTGTTGATTTTTTCTGTCAGTACGATGATCGATTTCCACCATCGAAAAACAATGTTTACCTAACCCTTTAGGCTCGATAAATCTTTTCTCCTTTAGATTTTGAATCATCGCATTAACCTTAAAATGAAGCTATAATTGTATGTTATAAGATCAACATATCATCAATTTATTCGAAATAAGCTCAGGGGAGCATTTTGGCCAATATGCTTCTTTATCTTTTTTTTTTTGCCCCCTAAAAATTTCAGCTTTAATCCACAGGGAGTCATTTTTCTACGGGGGTCATTTTTCTTCACGTGGGTTCTGCAAATTTGTAGGGTGGTGCCACTTTTTCTACGGGCAAAAGGGTCATTTTTCTATGTCGAATTTTTCGCTGTTGAATGACCGGGGGTCATTTTTCGCTGTCGAAAAATGACCCCCGGTCATTATTCGATGGGGGTCATTATTCGTCTTTACACCGGCTGTCTATTGTGCATTGCTCCTAAATATTATTAGTTTCCTCAATTGTTCAGTCAATTGTGATACAAAGCATTAACATGCAAAGAAAAGAACAAATTATGCTCTTCATTGTCCCTGCCCATGTTGGACTTAAGAAATGGAGACGAAAACATGTAATTCTTTCAGACCATACCAGACAAACAAGAAAAGGAGGAAAATTTAGGAAGATAAAAAAACCAGATCAATCAGAATAGATAACCATATTGAAATAAGTATCTTATCGGTTCGTTTTAAAAATAAAATTGAACAAGACTTTCTTGAAATTCATCTTTAGATAAGAGGACCATTTACTACAACGCTCAAAATGCTTCCACATTAGTTTCAGAATATCTGGTCCAGTGGTTCTTGAAAAGAAGATTTTTAAAGATTTTTCCTATATATTTCAATGTAACACTTGGATTCCCTTTTGTGGCCCAACCTTACATACAGGGGTCTTCAGTTAAACAATTTTAAATCTATACTACCCCAGGATGCTTCCACAAAAGTCTAACATTATCTTGCCTTAGTGGTTCTTTAGAAGAAGATTTTTAAACGATATTTTTTATGTGTCAATGTAAATCATCCATTCCTTATTGTGTCCCTAACTCTACCCCGGGGGACATGATTTTAACTAGGGATGTCAAGGAATATTTGAATATTCATTCGAATGGAACTCGTAAATTAACTTACCTCGTCATTGGTCATTTGCAAAATTATATTGATAAAACAGACTCTGATTGCACACATAAGTACTCTGAAGTTGACATCAAGAAGATGCTTGAGTTTCTGATCGACATTATCTATGTGGTTTTTGGAGACAGGGTATTCCAACAATCTATTGGAATTCCCATGAAAATCTACTGAAAATCATTATCACGAAATTAATCAACTAAAAGTAATTTATACCCACAATTTTTTTTTTGTAATGAGAGATGACAATTTTGCTTCATCTCTTGTGTAAATTATTAAAACACACATGCGTGAAAATGTCATTGATTGAATTGAATAAAAATGATTAAAACTACATTACGTATTCAGAAACCTATATAACAATTAATTGACTGGGCTTAAAAAAAAATATCCAGTTAATGAAAAATTGACTTGTTAAACATACAGACTAGTCACATAACATAATTCTTCCTAATCACATGACAAAAAAATCAGCCCAGCCACCAATAGTATAATGGAAAAAACACTTAAAAAGCGAAAAGCTGGTGCACAAAAACGCCAGTGCACCAAATTAAACAATGAATTAATTTTTACATTCTTTGTAAGCAAACAAGTTACAAGTAAATGGTAAAATTGTAAGAATCACCAAAAAGGGTGGTGGGTGGGAAGGGTTGGCTGCTGTAAAAAACGTGGCTTTTTTTTTCAAAGAAAAATGGCTAGAGTAAATTAACCACGTGATACGTATAATACCAACTGATTGGTCCAAACTATAAAATCTAGCAGTAAATGCAAGGGACATCTGAAAGTGACAACACTGTAGTAATTTTTTAAATAGATATTTGTTCTGCGTATAATAAATTTGTAGGAAGGGTCGAACCAAAATATTCGATCAAATTTTAGATAGAAATATATGGGGAAAATCTTTTCAAGAACAGTCATATGTATGTAGAAGCATCCTCGGGAAGTGCAGAATCAAGTTTGTTCAAACATGACTCCCTCCAAGGATAGGTTCGGACCATAATAGACAAGCAAAGTCTTATCATTAGAATGTATAAGAAAAATCTTTTTCTTGGGAACAGCAAAGCCATGGTTTGTCACATTTATATGGAAGCATCCTCAAATACTAGTGTAGATTAAAGTTTTCTTTCTGGGGGAAGGACGGGACCACATTGGGCGATCAAAGTTTTACACAGAAATAATTATTTTAAAAAGTCTTTAAAAAATCTTCTTCTCAAGAACAGCAAAGCCATGATTGGTCATATTTATGTGGAAGCATCCTCGGGTAGTGTAAATTCTATTTTGTTCAAATCTTGAACCCCGAGGCCATAATGGGGGATTCAAAGTTTTTACATAGGGAAGGAAAATTTTCTTCTAGGAAAGAACCAGAATAGTAAACACATTTTTACATTGAAATATAAAAAATGATACAGAGATAAACAAAGATACAAATTAAAATAGTAGATTGGAAAGGTATAAACATTTGACCAGTGAGGCGATGGAGTTAAAGATTAAAAAAGAAAAGTCTGAACGCATTTAGAGTTCAGCATCAGAAAATATTAATGCAAAGGTTCTGTTTTTCAAACATGTTTGCCCTTGAACATTACATGCGGGGCCACAATTGGGAATCCTAATTTTACATTGAAATAAAAAGGGTAAAAAAATCTCCCCAAGAACCACTGGACCAGGAAAGTTGAAACTCAGGTGGAAGATCCAGAGCTATATATAGGAGATTCGAAATTGTCAAACCATGACCTTTGGGTAGGGCGGGCGAAGATAGGTAATCAAATTTTTACATTGTAATATATAGATCAAAAATCGTTTCGGCGAAGTAAGGATTCTTAATTGTTCAAATCATGATCCAGGGGTAGGGCATAGCCACATTAGGGTGAAAATCTAAAGATCGTTTTTAGAACAGCAGAGCTGTAATTGGTCATACGAGGGTTGATCCAAAAGTAATGTCACAGTGTCCATATTTTTTTTATATTTGGCGTCATATCATCAAATATTAGATACCAAAAGATGCACAAATATAAATCTAATTAACATTGAAATTTTCATTTAATGTTTATTTGAGTCTATTTTATTGATGTTTAAAACATGGGGCATAGGGGGTGTCGCCGCGTCACAAATGAACGTCACGTTTTTAAGTGCATTTTTTTCTTAAAATGAAAAAGACAAACACATTAGAAAGATTCTAAAAAGCGCCTAATATATTCCATTTTTTAAAAGACATAATTCACGTCATTTTCTAATTAATTCACGTCATTTTCTAATCTTTAATTGAAAATTAAATGACGGCATTGGTATTTGTGATCATCAACATTGTTGTTTTACGCTGTTGAATTGAAAAAGGGAATTGTCGAAATGGGAAGAAAAACGCCTTGACTAGCTGTAATGCATTTTTGCTTCAAACTGGGAATCGTCACTGGCGACAGGTACGTTGATTAATCAGACACACTGAAAAAAAATGTAAATAAGAGACTTCTTTATAGATGGTTTCAGCAATTTTGGGCGGGTGAAGGGTCATTGAATGACTAGCAGAGGACAAGAAGACCGAAAGATAGGAAGTCGAACGGAAACGTTTAATGGTGTCTCCTTGAAAATTGTCAAAAAAGACAGACGGAAAGAGTGACATGTGAATTTTTAAGTTTGTCTTATGCTACTGTTAAAAATATTTTGACAGAGGGCTTAATTATGAAAAGAGGGAGCGTATGATGGGTACCAAGAATTCTTAAAGAAAGTGATTGAAATTGGTGAAAGTGTTTGCACATCTCAAATATTTTTAATGAAACGATGGGAAAATGCTTAAAAGTATAACGGCGGTATCCGTCATATGACGTTATATTTAGATGCGGCGACTCCCATAAACGCACTTTGTTTATAATCCGATATTTTGGAAAGTATACATCATATTCCTTTGAATTTTTCAGGTCTGATTTGAAATAAATGCAGCTTTCATTATTTATAATTTTGTTGTTTTACGTCGATTGGTAGCAATTTTATCAAAGTTGTGACATTACTTTTGGATCAACCCTCGTATTAGTAAGGAAATTTTCATGTCCTGATGATATAAATTCCGATAGCTGTCTGCTCAAAAGAATGTATATGTACATCTGAATCCTAACTTTTATAATGTAAACTTGTATTTTTTTCAAACAGAGCAGGATTGCTGGAACATTTTACAGAAAAAGCCGAGTCTGCAAGGACACGACGGGGTTTATCAACTTAATATTACATCTAAGACAAAGCTTGCGTACTGTGATATGACAACAGAAGGGGGAGGTTGGACGGTATGTTTAATTAATCACGTGTTCTACAAATACTACATCTACTTTCCTGTTACTGTAAGGAGATTTGCAGGTTTTTTCTCCAATATTGTTTCTCGATTGTGAAGTTTTCTAACTGAAACCTACGTCACGTAAAATGTTTCAGAGTATACAAAGAAGACAAGACGGTTCTACAGATTTTTACAGGACGTGGTTAGAATATAAACAAGGGTTTGGAGATCCTTCTAAAAACTACTGGATTGGTAAGTTTAATTTATGTAAATTAGAGGGTAAAAAATAGTGTTTCATCTTAATACAAACATATTACAGTATGAAGAATGTACAATTATCAAAATAAGTTAATTTTGATTATTAATTCAAGCACATACATTCCTAACGTAATAGTGCTGATCTTTTGCGCCTTTCGATTGAATAAACTGAGTTCTATTTATATTCAGAATAAATATATGCCATTCAATAATTCTATTATTTTTGGGTATCATGTAGTTATTAAGAACCACAAAGAGGGGAGATTTGGAGGGTAATCGTGATCAAAACCCAAATTGTAAGTTTTTTAATCTAAATTTGCAATCGTATCAGTTAAAGGTCAAGTATAATATTTCTGTGAAAATTCATAATTATTCATTATTTTCAGCCTCTGAAACAATATAAATGACATTCTGAGGTCTATTTATTTTTTTGTCACCAATTTCCATCACTAATAGTCGTTTAAACTTACCTGTGTGACAAGTGGATCATTTATTGTAAATCGCTTATCTCCCTTGTTGCGTGACGTCATCAGAGACAACGTTAAATAGGAAGTACATGCTATTTTGTCGTGTTTGGAACGTATTGTTTGCGAGATGTTGCCATGTGGGCTTTTAACTGTACCAATAAATCGGAACAAGACTTGAGTATATATTTAAATTCTTACGCACCTGAAATTGAGGGAAATATGGACATTCACTTTTAAAAGAGATGTCTTTGAGCCCAATAAACACTAAACACTATAAAAATATAAGCGACTTTTTACATAGACCAGTTTAGGCTACATTTTAATTAATTATAAAATTATATCACGAATTACTTGTTTTTATTTCAGATTTAAATCGCATTTTACAATTTGTCAGTTTAGGTATTTATAGACGCAATACTGTTTTGAGGAAAAAGTTTTTTTTTTTATTCTTGTTACAGTACTCAACAAGATCAGAAACCTGACGATTGGTTCATGTACTTTGCTCCCCCCCCCTACACACACACTGAAAATAAAAATAAGTAAAATATACATGAATTCCTTGTCCGTCATACCAATACTTCGATATTTTATGTTTTCCGCTTTTGTCAAGTTTTTATAGATATTGACCCTTTACATTAGAGTATGCACTCGGTATATATATATAGTATACATGACTGAACATTAAGCGGCGCGTTGTTAAAAGTACATGTATTTCTGCGTAAACCTCTAACATCCTGGAGTAAAATAAAAAATACTTGCAATTTTCAAATACATATACTGTGAAGAAACAATCTCTAAAACTTGACTGACAAAAAAAGGAAGGTGTGGTATCATAGACAAGGAATTTATTATCTGCCAAGTTATCGTGTCAAAAAAAAAATCGCAGTTGGGATGGGGTATGCTGCGGTATGTCCCGGAACACCCCCCTCTAAATCGGCGCATGATATCAGTCTCAGAAAATACTTACTCAAGAATGTGTTCATTTACTTCCAGTTGTCCCTTTTCTACAAAATGTTTATATTAAAATTGTTTGCATTACATATTTATTCAAACAATAAAATCTCAGTGTTTATGCACGCAAGTGATTGTTCCTCAATTTTCTGCCCGCAGTTTTGTTTTCCTCCAGCACTTATTTTCTGTTATGCTGGCTTGACATAGTTACCACAAGAGCATATGAAATCAGAATGCATACTCAGTATGGTTTTGTTTTCTTTTTTCTAAACTAAATAAGGGTGAAATAATCTATATTAAAATATTTTTAGAATGAAAGCGCTATGTGACAAAGATTTTCAGGCCTGTATGAAGCAATTAATATCCATTGAGGGGGACAACAAAGAAATGTAACTTCGGGAGGGGGGGGGAATAAAAATAACTTGTTACGCATAAATTAAAAAGGTTCCAGACAAATGTTTAGTTACCACATGTGCTTAGGGACGGGGAAAATTCATATTTTTGATACTAAAACAGAACGTTTTGTTTTAGTATAAGAAGGTATGAATTTATAAAAGGCTAATACTAGCCTTCTTTCCCCTTAAATTTTGGATTTTTCGGTCATAATACTTTATGAATATATCATAGAAAATATTATTTTAAAGTAAATAAACCCACTGGGGTACGGAACAACCGAGGGGGGGGTTCCAAGTACCTGTGATAGCTACATCTTCGGATTCCCGCGATGATATATATCCATCCTATTTTTAGCATAAAGGACTCAGTCAAGGTCACAAGGTCAAAGACTTGGTGTCATTTGAAAGAACTTATGTATTAGAGTATGTTTTCCGAATATGAAGTTTCTTTCTCCTTTAGTTCAAAAGTTATGGAGAAAGATCGAAAAAGTTTTTTTTAGCATATAGGTCACAGTCAAAGTCACAAGGTGTCTGTCCTGATATCATTTGAAAGAGCTTAATAAGTGGAGTATGTATACTAAGTATATGAAGTCTCTATCTCTCATGGTTCAAAAGTTATGGCGAAGGTTAAAGTTTACAACAGAAAGACAGACAAACAGACAGGACAAAAACAATATTCGCCCAGGATCTATCGATCCAGGCGCATAAAACAATTCACAAGTCTACACGTTTGTCGAATATTGTCGAGAAACTATGAAGGGTAATCAGTGCCATAATATAATATGATATATGCATGTTTCATAGGAAATGACGCAATCTATATGAGGTGACAATGAACAAAGAATCTACAGTGTCATAATATAATACACTATAAGAGTTTTTATATTTGTTTCAAAGGGAATGACGCAATTTATGAGCTGACAAAGAACAAAGACCAGGAACTCCGGGTTGAGCTACAAAGATTTAATGGCGTTAAAGCATACGCTCACTTTTCCACATTTTATATCACTGATGAGGATAGTAAATACAATCTGAGTGTGTCAGGGTATAATGGAACAGCAGGTAAGTTTATTTATATTATATATTTATATATAACATTTGTACATGAAATAATTTTACATAATAAAATATTCTGAAAAAATTCTTAATCTGATCTGAACTAATTTCATTTAAATGAAAAGGAACCATACATGGTATTTATGTTACTTTTTATGGAAAATAAGACACTATGTGAAATTTTATTTATTCAATACAATATTTAAAATCTGGAGTTGAATTTTTGAACCCACGCATTCTTTAATTTTTCTCTTTGCCCGAGATTAGCACATACCGTTTTATGGTTAGTTCGACTTTTCCACTCGGCGAGTGGAGTTTGGGCGCTGTTTACGGAGATTAAAGAAAACAAAGACAAGCAAGCCATATATGGTTGTGTAGATAAATTATCGTAGATGACATAGGTATAAACAGTTTGCCATTGCCATTTCTCTGAAAGTGTAAATGAGCACGATTCTAAGGGAGAGGGTACTCCATGTAATTTGGAATTAGATACCTTGTTTTATTATTATACTATGGGTTAAATTTTATTCCCGAAACAAGTGCCGTGTGTAGAATGTATTCCCTAATATTCACAATTCAAATGTATTTAGAGAGATGCAAATATTGTTAGCTTTCAACATCATAATGATGTATTTGGACAAGTTTTCGTATAATTTCCATTATAAAATCAAAAATATAAAGGACTTTATTCTAGTATTTGCCCCCAAAATCAAACCTTGACGAGGAAATATATAATTATGTCCTAAAACAGGGGTATATCTGCAGACTTCAAAGCATTAAATATTTTAAAAAGAAATGACTTTATATGATGTCAGGAAAATGACATGTCATGAATTAAAAATTACTATGATTTCTTCAGAAAAAGATATATATTACTTCGTTATCAAAGACCTATATATAATAAACAAATGCTAAGTATTTAAGTTTAATGTTTTATTCGAGTTGGCAGGTATTGTCCACAGTGGTCTACACAACAGTGGGACAGCCGGCAAAATGGCATACCCCCAACATGAACATAAGTTGTGCCCTCCCTGACGGGAAAAGTAGCACGCTGGGTTGACCTCAATCGTGCTACGGACACATTTCAACACAAATTGTCTTTTAATTATATTATTTTGCTTTAGATTTACATTATATAAGATTTAATTTTCAAAGTCAACATCACATATATCAACATCAACCATCACATATATCAACATCAACCACAAAAAGTCAACAAAATCAACAGTTCAATGGTTAAATTGAAGGTGACGATTTCGCCACATGGGCACCGTAGGTGCCCACCGCCACCTGGTGGGGGTAGGCAACTTCAATTTAACCACCCACCATGGACTCCTAGCCTACTCAAAACCCTCAGCAACCCATCCATCGTAAACATCACTTTCTCTCATTTCCAACCCACTGTAGATTTATGCTGCATTAAAATAAATCTGGTAACCCTTCAAATTTACAGTGCCTTACCCCCCCCCCCCCTTTTCCCTGATTTTATATCTTTAAGTTGTATTGCTTTGGGTCTCTATTTCTATTACTAATATCCAGCTATTTTACTCAGTCAGAAAGAAAGAACTAACTGGGCTAATGTAAGAAAATAAAGTAGAAAAATATGTCTTATCTAGATTTATCCCCCTTTTTTTAATTTATTGGTTTATTCATTTGAATTTTATTTCTTATTCATTTTTAGGTCATTTGAAATAAAAAAATTTGTAATATACTTTCCTGCAAAGATTACAAACAAGATGAATGAGCACCTATACTCTCTACCCCCCCCCCCCCTTTCAGGATGATTAAGTTGTTCCTGTATTGTAGACAATAATTTTAAGTGTTCACATTCCCACTCTGTCAAGTGCAGAACATGTTTTGTGATATTTTGTAATGTATCTTGCCAGTTCTGAAGAAATGAGCTTATCTAAGTACTACTTATTTTTTAAACCAAGCTCTTCTGAAGACCATGTAAAATTGATTAAATCTTGTATATACTATTTACCTTTGAAGCCAAGAAACACAATAGGGTACTTTGTATTTACCCCTAAGCATTAATTTGTCAATGTAGATGGACTGCACAAGACATGTAAGGCACATATGACTAAAACCTTTATTCTAAATCCCATTCCAGCTGATACTCTATCAAAAAGGCATGATCTAACTACACCTTAAGCTTCCTACTTTGGGAATTTTGGGGAGGGACCCCCCCCCCTTTCCTCCTGCAAAAATATGCTGTGGAATGGGTTATTAAAAATATAGACTTATAATTCTTTTTAAGGCTGTAAAAAAAAATAGCTTTATGATAGAGAGCATGAAAATTAATATGCTAAGTTAGTGTAAACCTATCCTTTCTATAACACCCTAAAATGCTGTCGAAGTTTATCTAATCTTAGCACTATGAAACGTTAACTCCTACTCACTTGTGGATTTGTATTTGTATCCCCTAGCTAACCTATATTTTACTCCAGCATGCTAGAGATTCACGACGAGATACTTTTGGCTTGGCTCCGAGGTACATAAGGAGCGTTAACCGAGGCTCTTATACATGTAGGAGTAACCTGTATTTGTACCCATTAGCTAATGCATGGATGTAAACTACATTTACATATGCAATTATGCACCGACTAATGCATCTTAATCCCATATGAGATTAATGTGTAAACAGAAAATAATTCAGCTAACTGCTCACATGAGGGATAAACACATACCATATTACATGCGAATGGCAACTGGGTTTGAACTGATATTTTCAATGAAGAAATGCCCCTAAGATATGCATATGTGTAAGCTAACAGTAAGCGCCTACTATTAAAAAGAAAATATTGTAGGGAATGGATCAGATTATAATCTAGCCTGTGGTACAATATGTATCTAACCCCCCCCCCCCCCCCCCACCCCGAATTTGTATCTCTATGCTGTTTGGAAATCTCGCCTTATGTAGTTCTTTCATCTCATTTATTTATTTATTTTTTAAATCTTCTAATTCCACATTAATAAAACCAGTTACCTAAACAATTTATCCTTTATGAGTTTAAAATCTGTGAATATAGAATTTTAACTGAAGCAAGTTTTATCTGTGTAAAAATAGCAAATCTTTTGTATCTAATAACTTTGAGACACAGCAAAAACCAACACTGACAAAAATTTAAGCCCCATTTTAAACCTTATACTGGAAGTCTCATTATAAACCTCTCTATTTTATTTATTTGTTGACTTATTTATTATTATGACCATTTATACAGCATATGCCATAAGGAAAATACATAGAAAGATCAGCACTGCGAGCCTTATTCAAATGAGCCTGCATTGACTTTAGCACCTAAAAACTCTGTAATATGTCCCTCATCCCTTTGCAAAACTGAATTACTTGATTAAAACTGGTAAAAGTTCAGGGACTTGAAGTTGCATTTCCTATTTTGAGGTTCACTTTCCCTGATGAGAAAGATAACTCAAAGGAATAAATGTTAATTTACTAATAATTTTGACAAGATTAGCCTATAAATTATTATTTATTTTATAGTCTTTTATTTGTAGAATTATATTTAAATACCTAAAGATTTTCCTCTTGTATAAGTCTTAAAGAACATTGTCAGGAAATAAAAGCCCGTGCTGAAATTATTCTCTGTGTGAATTATGACATTTGTGAATTAGTCTATATGATAAATTTAGTAAAATAAGTTAACTTAAGATGGTACAAAACTTTTCATTTACTAAACACAACTATATAAAATACAAGGCCTTTATGCAGTTAAGGGGTGAGAAGTCATTAAATGTATGTGTCTTTATTGTGTTATCATGATATCATCAAACCTACTCAAATAAGGTACAGGCCCTGTTAGAAAAATTCATAATTATGTTCATATACACTGAAGACGGCTTCCAAATGAACAAACAGCCTGACCTTCATTTATTTCCTTTATATATAACTTTAACCAAACCAACGAAATGTCAACACAGAATTTATATGTGAAACAAGCCTTTGACCCCCTCTTACTTAATCTGAACACTTATATATACATATATTAACCAGCAAAATAATAGCTAGACTTGCTAGATAATAGATATCTACATGTACTTCATTAAAATAAAATTCGGGGAATCCTATCTTTATCAACTAGTGAACCATTGAGGCCCTAAATTACTATGCACACATTGTTATTGTTCTGAAGTTGTCCTCCTTGTCACCCCCTAAGAGAAGAGATATCCGAATAGATGAGGATGCTGCTGGTCCTAATATAACTATTAATATGTAGATTTGACAGACAATGTACAATTCAACTCGGGTGCATAGAACCTATGCCCCCAGCTTTTACAGCCTGAATTGTTCATTGCAATGCTTCCATCCAACTGAATTTTTTTTTTTTTTTTTTTTTTTTTTTACTCAAAATCTATTTAGTCATCATTCGTATTTACTTACCTTGAGTTTTGTCATAGCATGTGTACATGTACAACTGTAAATATGTATAAACAAATACACATCTTAATCTTATTTCATGTTAAATTCATATACATAAAAATGCATTAATTGTAATATAACATTCCAAAGCACCACAATTTGTTCTTTATTTTACTTCGAATTATTTTATTTCACAATTGATTACTGCCTTTGTTGCAATTCCATACCTTTCATGCCTCTCTTTGGACCATTGTTAAAGTTGAATGGCCTTGATTGAAAATTTATATCCTTTAATTAGAGTTCTGTTCCTATGTGAATCAGGGTAAATAACATTTCTAAAGACATGATACAATAGCGTTATCAAACTTTAATTTATTCTCAATCTGTATGTTTTCTATTTATTCACTGTTTTAAGGCAAATTTTTTTTTTTTTTTTTTTTTTTTTTTTTAAATGTCACAAAATATTTTGAATAAACTGATAAATACAACAAGCCACAAGTTACAAAACCATACTCATATTGTAAGAATTATAACTATGTACATATTCCCATTTCTAAACCCCCTAAAGATAGGCCAAGGGATCTATGTAAGTATCTAAATATAGGCTACCATGTGTACGGATGTTTGA